ACCCTTTTTTTTTTTTTTTTTTTTTTTTTTTTTTTTTTTAAATAGGGAAAAAATCGTGTTTTCAGACTTTTGGACATTTATCAGTTTCATGAATAATTATTGAATGTTGCAAATGGAACCCCATGTTGCGCTTGGTCCTTGAGTAAAAATGACTATCAATTTATGATCATGTAAACAGTAAGGACAGCCTGAAGCTGGGCATCATTATAAAGCTCTGTGCTGCAGGGGCACAAGCCACAGTGGAGTCTGAGCTGCCATCTGCTTATGATGGAAAGAGACTGGCTGGCTGCAGTGCTAAAAAAGGAAACGGTTCATTGTTTTGATTGTGACGGTTCGTGTCGAGTTAGAAGCATCCATGTTTCCCTCAAACCCCTCTTGCAGTGGCATTTGGCTGTCTGCGAAACATGAGTCACACATCTTATCGTGCTATGAGGCTCTTTAATGCTGAGCATGTCTCCCTCACTTTGTTCGGCTTCATCAAATGCATAAAAATGCAGTAATTTTAGTTTTTCGTAGGAGTCGCCTGACCGAGCGTGATCCTTTGTTTACTCAGCTTTTCTCCTAAACAGCCTTACGTGAGGAGACAGCAGCTCAAGAAAGATTAAAAATGTTTTTATGCGCTCTGTCACAGGCGCTTGTGTTTAGGATAAAATATCTGATTAAGTCTCGACGTTTTGCTCGGTCTTTAGATTTTGCCATCTAATGCATCTCAAATACAGATTCAATGAGTATGCAGAGTTGATTAAAATTCACACGAGCGCCTGGAAAGGATTTGATCCTGTAGCACAAGTAGCTCATTACCTCCCACTCCCGCATCCCACAAGCCAGCAGATTCCACTGCACAAGCAAGAAATAACATTCCAGTCACTTCGCCAAATACTGGCCAGTGTTCAGAATGGATACAGTGTTCTTCTGTCTGTTTGATGATCAGCACAGTATGCTGCTAAAATGGTGTGCCTTATTAAATTAAATCACATCTTCAGTTTTGTGACTCTTTTTTTCCCCATTGAGTCCACTTATGTTAGTCAACATTTTATGCTTAAAACAGTTGTAATTTTTTGTTTCTTATGACCATTATTCCACCCTTGCTCTCCCCCTTTTAATTCGGCCTAAATAGCCTTTTTTAAAAACAGAAATGTCTACTTTTATTTAGCAAGGATCCTTTAAATTGATCGAAATTGACAGCAAAAACTTTCTATTTCAAATAAATGCTGTTCTTTTGAACTTTGTATTCATCAAAGAATCCTGAAAAAAATGTTTACAAAAATTTGAAGCAGCACAACTGTTTTCAACATTGATAATACGAAATGTTTCTTGAGCAGCAAATCATTATATTAGAATTTCTGAAGGATCATGTGACACTGAAGACTGGAGTAATGACTGTTGAAAATTCAGCTTTGGTCACAGAAATAAATTACACATAGAAAACATTTAGTCTTAAAATTATAATATTTCACAATTTTACTGTTTTTACTGTAGAGACTTCTTTCAAAAACATTATAAATCTTACCGACCCCAAATGTTTGAATGGTATTTTACATATTTTCTTAGAGGGACAGTTCTCCACAAAATGAAAATTGTAATAATTTAATATTGTCTAAAGTTAATATTGTTATTCCAGTTTAACTATTTTTTTTTTTTTTTACTACTTTTGTTTTATTTATATATTTAAACTTTTCTTAATTTTTCTGTGTGCTATATAAATTAAATTGCCTTGCTTTTCCCATTCGGGTTCAGCTAGATTAAAGCTTTAGTTTTCTGTGTTTCTGTAAATAATCATTTTGGTGCATCACTAGTCAAAACATATCAGAAAAGTGCTAATTGTTTTGGTTAGTGATTTGAACAAAAACTTCCTCCCCTTTTTTTTTTTTGGCTTTTTCAGGCCAGATATTTTCAGTTGCTAAAATCGGTGCATCTCTTACGGTCTCTGCTACATACAACTTTATACATACCACATCCATGGATCAACACTATTTCAGAAGGTCAAGACAAATCAGGCAGTGTCCGTTTAACAGATTGTGTTTGTCTCTCTAAGGCTCTGGAGCGCTCTGAGAGTGAGGAGGTTTCAGTGATCACCCAGCTGGTGAAGAAGATCCTCATCATCATATCACGCCCGGCACGACTGCTGGAGTGTCTGGTGAGATTCTGCAGCTGCACTGATTCACATTCCCAAAACTCTGCTCCTGATTTTCACTTCCATCTCTCTGTGTAGGAGTTTGACCCTGAGGAGTTTTACCATCTACTAGAGGCTGCAGAAGGTCACGCCAAAGTCGGCCAGGGCATCAAAACGGATATTCCCCGCTATATAATCAACCAACTTGGACTTAACCGTGATCCCCTTGATGGTGCGATTATCTGTTATTTACCTTGTGGTGATTTTGTTTTGAAAGCCTGTGAGTTTCTCTGAGGCTCATGTTGTTGTGTCCTTCATCTCTTTTGACAGAAGTTGTGCAGCTCGAGGAGCAGTATGACTCTGGCCCCACACTGACGGTCGATTCTGAAGAATCCGCAGAGGTAAATGCACCACAAAAATAGCTGAAGCATTAAAAAGCTTCACTAGGTTTCGTAAGACGTCACTAATGATACGTCTCTTCCTGTTGCTTACAGCAGAATAAATCTTTACCCACACCACTACGAAGAAAACCCCTGGAGAGTGATTTTGAGACTATAAAACTCATCAGTAATGGGGCTTATGGGTAAGCAAATCACATGACTACAGGTAAAAAAGCGATTACTTTAGAAAGGCATCTTTTTAGCTGGCAAAGCGTGATTTGAAGGAGGATCCAGCTTTAATTATTATTCTAGCTTACTACATCTTCTGATTCTTTACAAAAGAGGCTCCAAAAATGAGGGAGAATTTATTGCAACTAGAAGATGGTTTGTTATTACCATCAGAGTCAGATTGTTTTTCTGGTGTTGCTTGCTGCCAACAGGACCTACTTAAAATGAGGCAAATTAGCTAAAAATAATCATTTGTGTGATGAATTTGACACATCATGGCTATGATGGAAAAAATTTGCACAATTACCTACAATTATTTTTATATACTCACCAGAACTTATAGCAGGTGAAATATGAATAGAAATGTTTTCATAAATATAAGAGTTGTGAAAAAGTGGAGACATCTGTGAAACTTTATATAATATATGTAGACAGTAGTAACGTTTCTTTAAAATATATTTTTTTATGTTCAATATATATTTTAATCTTAAGTAGAAATAATATATAAATGAAAATATATTAAAATAAAGTATTGAGTTATGGTCTGAAGGCAGATGAGTTTAGGACCATGACTGAAAATGTAATGTCATAATTTTGATAAAATAAGTGAAAATAAAATAGTGTATTTGTGATTATCTGATGATTTTCAAAGTGGAAATGTTGATCATTTAAAGGGATAGTTCACCCAAAAATGAAAATTATCATAATTTACTCTGTATTAACCTGTATTAATTTCTTTTTTCTGCTGAACACAAAAGAAGATATTTTGAAGAATGTGGGTAACCAAACAGTTTTTGGTCCCCATTGACTACCATTGTATGGAAAAAAAAATACTATGGAAGTCAATTGGGACTAGGCATGGGCCGGTATGAGATTTTGACGGTATGATAACCTTAAGCAAAAATATCAGGGTTTCATGGTATCACAGTATTGTCGTTACAGATCTAAAATGTGTTATTTTTAAATGACTGGGTTTTTTCCGCTGAACACAATATATTTTGTTTTTGAGCAGCATACAGAATATTAGGAACAGTAGAATTTGTTTATTTTTTCTTTGATTTGTTTCCTAAAAAGAAGAAAAATAAAGACATCTTTATTTAACCTAAATCTGTAATTACAGTTATTTAATTTTAGTTATATAATTCATATACATATCATTTATATAATTTCATATCATTTAGTTATATAATTTCATATACATAATTTGATTTAATAATAACCCAATTTGAAGCAAAAACAGAATGTTCTGTTCTGACTAGCTTTGTGAAATTGTCAGGGATGCAAACTTGTCACCTTTTGGTGAAATTCGCCGTTTTAAGTTTAAGAGGACAGTCCACGTATACTGTTTCAGGAATGACAAACGCGAGTCGTCAGTTATGCGGTGATGCGCTATGAAATTATTGCGGGGCAAATTAATTGTAATATTAATTTAATAATAAAAGTAACCTAATAATAATAGGCCTAATAATAAGAAGAATGTAACAGGCCTACATTAATTGGAAATGCTAAATCCTCTTAATATTGCCAATATTTGATGCTTTTGACAATATCTCTGGCAATAGTTGACACATAATACGCCACAACTCAGCACGGGGAGGTTATCGCGGGCCCCCCCGCAGTGCGTGACCGTCCGGCTTCGCCACTGAATGGACCGAACGAACTGTCTGACAAGCCGATGTCAAAACAGACCTGTGCATTAAGTGATGCGGAGTAAATTCAGAGTAACAAAACTACAGCAGCAACAAGTCTGTGTTGCCTTTAGCAGCTTCTACAAGTAAAGATTTGATGTCTCCTTTTTAGGCAATGTTTGAAAAATGTAATTTTTAAATTAAATCTAAAAAATGCCAAAATATTTCATTAATAATGAACTTCATTTGTAGTTAACTAGTTAAAGGGTTAGTTCACTCAAAAATGAAAATTCTGTCATTAATTACTCACCCTCGTGTTGTTCCAAACCCGTA